TCTAAGTTCATTTCAATCAAGTAAGGTGGGAGCTGTACAAATGGGGGTGCTGCTCCTTTTGTTATCTTTTGTGGCCTTATTAATAATTTTACAGTATTTAATATGCCAGATTCAATTACTTTTACACTATAAACAACTGCTGGTAAAAAATAAGTATGAATTCAAACTTAGAGAAAGTTGGGTTTAACTCTGTGGCAACAAGAGGTTTGTTAGCTTCCATTCACTTAGGAACAAAGCATACTATTTGAACACAAATACTTAAAGATTAGAATAAAACTTTGTCACTTAGTGTTATTAGTCAAAAAATACTATAGCTCTCCTTTTTCTCTCAGATGGCTTTTCTCTGGTCAGAAATAAGATGAAAGTAGCAATGGGAAACATGAAAATAGAAAACATATAGTAAACAGAAAACATCATCCATATGAATCCCAATAAAACTTCGTGAATCAAGCAGAGTGATCTGGAATCATACATTCTGTAAATAGTTTCATGTTGCTACAGAAGCTGGGCAGCTGATTAAAATCCCAAAAGGCCATTTTTTTTACAACCTGGCGCCTATTTAATGAGTTGCTCTATATCTGACATCATCTCCAATCAGTCTCACTAAGTGAATTTAAGTGAAATAGTCCTCACTAAGTGAAATTTCATTTACAATAACCATTCATGCAGCCCTAGTAAACAAAATAATAGTATGCTGTTATTTTCACACAAGTGCAATTTACTAGGTCCATTTTACTTCCAGGACCATAACAAACCAATGCAGAAAATCATAATCAAACAATACCCAAAAGTATATGTAGACTCTTAGACTGAATATTATCTTCCAAAGGATCAAGGTCGAAGATGGAGCCAGGATCTGTGCGCCAAACTTTGAGATCTTTCCCCCAAAAAGAAACAACAGGACAGTAGGTGAAAAAGATCAAGGAGAAAATTCAGCTGCTCTATTATTAGCAAGACAGAGGCTATCCTCTGTAGCTGAAACATACACTTTCTAATTATTAAAAAACATTATTATAGTAGTCAACACAGTCTGAATTTGTGAAGTTATTTTCAAATAGAGCTGGGAAACAATCTATGGTATCAAATTTTCTGTTTATATTGATTTTATCTACTTGTTTGTATGAAACATTGGTTTATTTACATTAGTCCAGCCATAAGAATAGATTCATATTTTGTTTGTAGTCAAAATAGTAGCAGGTTTTCTAGAACAGTCTAGAAGCTGTTTCATAAGCAACCATCTTTTTCAAAATAATTTGCTCCCTATAATAATTCAGAATTTTAGCCATGTTGGTATAATTCTGTAACATAAAAACATAAAAGTGTATCTAAACTTATAATCTATCTATCTATCTATCTATCTATCTATCTATCGATCGATCGATCGATCGATCGATCGATCGATCGATAGATAGATAGATAGATAGATAGATAGATAGACAATATATATATTGTCCTATATCTACAAAAGTATACTGTATGCAAATGATAACCAAATATATGTAAAGTGTACAAATTTCTGCCTCTACTGTTTTTGAGAATTAATTCATATTGTGTGGAAAAAATTATTATGAAACTTCCAAATTCTTATAAAAAGCTTTGTTTATGTTCTGCAATTCATATTCAGAAACTACAATGTAAAACAATGCTTGGCCATAAGTACGTCCAGGTCTTCGTTTTCTTACTTTGTCAATGGTACTCAATGAAGCATTATTCTAATGAGTGGTATGATAATATGAAGCTGTCTCTGTTGACTGCCAAGTTGCAGTAATAGCTTGTGAGCCCCAAACCTATCTTTTCCTAAATGCCAATTGACAAGGGTATCTGAGAATAGTGTTGTCTCCATGATGGTACCCCAGTCATAAAAGACATGTTGCAAACCATTATTTCACATTTTATCGATAACAGGGATCCCCAACCCCCGGTCCGTGGATCAGCACAGGGACGCAGCATTCCAGCAAATGGGCCACGCAAACAAGTGAAGCCCCATCCACTGGATGCAGGCAGCACACGAAACCATGCTCCCTCTGGTCCGCAGAAAAATCTTTCTCCACAGAACCGGTCCCTGGTGCCCAAAAGGTTGGGAGCCTCTAATCTATAAGAAGGGTTTTATTGCAATTTATCAATTTAATTTGCTGTTTTGTAAGAGTTTGTTACAAATGTTTTTTAATGTTTCCCAAAACACTATGTCACACTGATTTTCACTGGCAAACGAGACAAGGCCCCAAAAATAAAACCTGTAAGATACTTACAGTGAGGGAAAAAATATTTGATACCCTCCTGATTTTGTACATTTGCCTACTGACAAAGAAATGATCAGTCTATAATTTTAATGGTAGGTTTATTTTAACAGTGAGAGACAGAATAATAACAAAAAAAATCCAGAAAAATGCATTTCAAAAAAGTTATAAATTGATTTGCCTTTTAATAAGTGAAATAGGTATTTGACCCCTTTGCAAAACATGTCTTTAGTACTTGTTGGCAAAACCCTTGTTGGCAATCACAGAGGTCAGACATTTCTTCTAGTTGGCCACCAGGTTTGCACACATCTCAGGAGGGATTTTGTCCCACTCCTCTTTGCAGATCCACTCCAAATCATTAAGGTTTCAAGGCTGATGTTTGGCAGCTTGAACCTTCAGCTCTCTCCATATATTTTCTATGGGATTAAGGTCTGGAGATTGACTAAGCCACTCCAGGACCTTAATGTGCTTCTTCTTGAGCCACTCCTTTGTTGCCTTGGCCATGTGTTTTGGGCCATTGTCATCCTGGAATACCCATCCATGACCCATTTTCAATGCCATGGCTGAGGGAAGGAGGTTCTCACCCAAGATCTGAGGGTACATGGCCCCGTCCATTGTCCCTTTGATGCAATGAAATTGTCCTGCCCTCTTAGCAAAAAACACCCCCAAAGCATAATGTTTCCACCTTCATGTTTGATGGTGGGGATGGTGTTCTTGGGGTCATACGCAGCATTCCTCCTCCTCCAAACACGGGGAGTTGAGTTGATGCCAAAGAGCTTGATTTTGCTTTCATCTGACCACAACATTTTCACCCAGTTCTCCTCTGAGTCATTCAGATATTCATTGGCAAACTTCAGTTGGGCCTGTACATGTGCTTTCTTGAGCAGGGGGACCTTGCGGGTGCTGCTGGATTTCAGTCCTTCACGGTGTAGCATGTTACCAATTTTTTTCTTGGTCACTATGGTCCCAGCTTCCTTGAGATCATTCACAAGATCCTCCCATGTAGTTCTGGGCTGAATCCTCACCGTTCTCATGATCACTGAAACTCCATGAAGTGAGATCTTGCATGGAGCCCCAGACCGAGAGAGATTGATAGTTATTTTGTGTTTCTTCCATTTGCAAATAATCGCACCAACTGTTGTCACCTTCTCACCAAGCTGCTTAGCGATGATCTTGTAGCCTATTGCAGCCTTATGTAGGTCGATAATCTTGTCACTGACATCCTTGGATAACTCTTTGGTCTTGGCCATAGTGGACAGTTTGGAATCTGATTGATTGCTTCTGTGTACAGGTGTCTTTTATACAGGTAACAACCTGAGATTAGGAGCACTCCCTTTAAGAGAGTGCTCCTAATCTCAGCTCATTACTGTATAAAAGACACCTGGGAGCCAGAAATCTTGCTGATTGATTGGGGATCAAATTCTTATTTCACTCATTAAAATGTAAATCAATGTATAACTTTTTTGAAATGCATTTTTCTGGATTCTTTTGTTGTTATTCCATCTCTCATTGTTAAAATAAGCCTACCATTAAAATTATAGAGTGATCATTTCTTTGTCAGTACAAAATCAGCAGGGATCACATATTTTTTTCATATGAGTATGAAAAATTCATATAGTAAAAGCATAAAGAGATATTGAATATGACAATATATATATTGAAAAAAGTTTGCATCTAATTCACTAGTTTTTAAAGCAGTTTTTCTTAATCCAGTATCTTATAGAAAGATTGGACTACTAACTTTAGCCATTCACTACTTGCCAATTCAGTGTTAGCTAAACAGAATCTGACACTGTTTAAATATTCTGAGGAGAGTTTTAAACTAGTGACATGCAAAAGAATGAATACATTTTATTTTCATCTTTCCAGATGAACTATTATACTTACCAAGTAAAATAATATTTTATAACAATAAAATGCTTGTCTTACATGACACTGGGATGGTAGAACTTAATTCCTTTTGTACTGATCTATAAAAATGTCAAATGGCAATTTGTTCTGTGATTACTTTTATTATTAAAATAGTTAAAAGTGTTAATATTGGGCTTTCATATTAACAATTTAAATACTTCTTGCATTATGTCTTTTTTAAAAAAAATAAGCTATTGTCAAGTAATTTAATGATTAAAATTTCTTTCATTATTGGGTTAATTAATATTCTCATTACTTTAGAGGGCAATGCAATTAGCATTTTTGCTGGGAAACAATTATTGTCTGATAATCCTAAATGACCTAGCATTCTAATATGATAAAGAAATTTGATATGACACAAAAGTGCACAACTTCAAATGTCATTAGAGCTTCAGTTATACTAATAATTATCTAATGTCAGGCTCAAAAAATCAAAACACATAAAGATTCTTCTAAGTAATTTCCTTTATTGTTCCTCATCCATAGATAGAAACCTTTGCAAGCTAAAGCAAACTACTTACACCATTAAACATAGACTCAGATAACTCCTAAGGAGGGGCTGTTTTGGCAATTTTCCTCCCACTCAATCTGCCTAAACTTCACTATCTTTTGCTCTTCTAGAATGTAGTCCTTCCACCTTCAAACTACATTCTGTCATATCTGATCACTATCTATCTATCTATCTATCTATCGATCGATCGATAGATAGATAGATAGATAGATAGATAGTAAGATAGATAGATAGATCAGATGTGGTATGTGTATGTGAATGTGCATGTACATGTATATGTATATAATCAGAGATGGCGACACAAGTGTTTCTGATTCAGTAAATTTACAGAATTGACTTACCTACAATTATTCCAGGTCTCCTGTCCATTTCAACTATGTGTGGGTGAACACCTTTGTATGCAGCATCACTAACCACTTGGGTATTCCTTCTCACCCGTTCAGTTACAGGGTCATCCACTACTGAAGTGAATCCTCTGCCTTTTGTCTTCTCAAAATCTTCATGATATTTGACCTGGAGAAAAATATGTATATTTTTCTGAGATTCAAGTATTAAGAACAGTAAAAAATTATTGGGCATTGCCATTGGCTTGTATTCAACAATATACAGAATTACTATAACGCAGAAGGATGTTCTTTTGTTTTTCTTCCCTGAATTTTCCTCAAATTGGCTCCAGCAGGTCACTAATGGAGGCTACAGAGAGTACAAAAGTGGGATAACTGATTCACCTGGCAGATATTATTCCATCAGGCAAAGATAATATCCCATTTTGTATGTCTATTACATAAGTGCTTAATCATCAACATGCAATTTTTCATTGCCAGTATATGCCTTTATGTCTATAGCATATGTCAGTTTCCGTGATGATCTTTAAGAATATTTTAAGTAATTGCATCATTAGTCACAACCAATTACATTCTTATGCAAGTGTTGATATTAAACTGGCTTAATTTCAAATAGTGCGTCATATTAATCCACAAATTACTAAAGCAAACCCAGTTATTGCAGAGTCTCTATACTGATATCTGCAGTTATGCATATCTATGACTGAACCATTGAGATCAGTTTTTGATAAACATGGAAAAAGTTTCAGCATATTGCAATTTGGACCTTATTTTTTATTACTTTGCAGATGGAAAAACATGACAAAAGAGTTTTTGTGCATAAAAAATATTTATAAGAGTTAGATGATCTATTCAGTATTTCTATGTTTGCTCTTCCTGGATTCTACAGTACATAGGCAGTACAGTCATAAGTATTCATATGGCTTCTTTGCACCAGCAAAATCTGTCTCCCTCACAATATTATAGAATGCTAACATAGACCAATCACAGTGTGAAATTTTACAATAGTAGTGATCCAACAAGATTTGCCACAACCAAGTGAGGAGGAAGAGGAACACATGTAGGTGCATTGTCATAGAATAATAGGGGAGGAAAAGTGATAAAGCTTGTGAAAGGAAAAGAGAATGATCATAGTCTCCCAAACCCAATCCCAATTCCTGTAGAGCGAAGACCTTATTTCTTATGACTTTGTATTTACTGGTTTTATATACTGGAATAGAACCCACAAATAAGGAGACCCACCTCTACTTTTTTAACCCTTCTCCAAGATCATAATATATCCTGCACAATCCATATACATAACTTTGCAAAATGATCTCAACAACCACATTCAGAATTCACTTGCACACATGAAACTCTAACATGCACAGGCACAAGGCAGTGTGTGTTATCCTCTCCTATTAAGTTTTGGAATGTGGAAAGAAAAGCACCATGTGACATGTGTTTAAAAAGCCACTCAGTAAATTATTAGATAAATTGTTTAATTAGTATTGCAGGGGGGGAATTACATTGTTAGCAACTCCACTCCATCAACCATGGTGTAAGAAGAAATCAATTCTCACTTCAGTTGTGTGTGCAAAGTCTTGTCTGTTAATTCAGTGTGCAACACAATATTGCTCCTTAGAACATACTACCTATGTGAAGAATCTACCCTACCATTGAGATGATGTTTTGTGTTTCTTTGACATGCCTTAACTCGGGTGTGTCTAGAATCACGCTAGGTCTACCTTTCATTTGCTGCTGATCTCTGCTGTACTTGACCTGTAAAATATATCATCATCATTACACAGAAATATTTTGACCACAGTTAACCTTTGAAAATACTAACAATATTGTTATTATCATCAGCAGTGCTGCAATAATATGTCCATTCAAACTTGAATATCAGTGACCCAATAAGTTACAGTTTATAATATTTGAATGGCTAATGGATGTTACAAAGAAAGATTATTTAAACTTCAAAGAACTAATGGTAGTATTACACAAAAATGATATAGAGGTTCAAAAAAATGCACACTTATTTCCACCTAATTAATGACAGTCATTAGGCCATATGGATGAGCACACCTTTCTATAGTCATTTTAAAATTTCAAAAAGGAAGATCCATTCTTGACCAAAAACATAAATTTATTAATGCAAAACAACTAAAAGAAAAGAAGAGACAAAGGACTTGCCGAGCTGATAATTTCTTGATTCTTCTTGACTCTTTCCATTTCAGGAGTGACACTCACTGAAGTACCTTTACCAAGCTGCTCTTTATAGCAAACCTGATAATTAATAATTAAAACACATACAACCTGTGATTGAACCATATTAAGTAGTGCATTGCATTAAACAACATTTGATAGTTAAATTCCCTTTTACCGGTTTGTTTCAACATTATTAATACTGCATATAAAAGGATAAAAAGATTGCTTTCTCTCTGGTTCACTCTTTGGAAGGGAATGACAATATGAATATACATAAATATTGCTAACATAAATCTAATTTACTTAAAGGTGAAAGCATTGTAATGAAACTTCAAGTAACTCCAACTCAGTGGGGGTTTACACTATTCAAAGTAAAAGTTCCTAGAAGAAAAATATATACAAAAATAATTTCTTTCTAAAGTATTTAGAACATGGTGAGTGCATAATGATTGGATAATTTCATCATTCATGACAAAGGCTAACATGTAAAAATCAGAACATTATTAGAAGTTGCAAAATGGTCAAAAGTTCTTCGAAATTAGGAGGAAGATAATAAAAGCAGTTATAAGAAAGTAGTGCTGCTCATACTTCTAAGGATTTTAGAAAATTTAGAAAAGTAGTTTCAGAATAACAGTATTGAGAAGAAAGATTTCTCTGCAGGATTACAGGATTTCAAATATGGGTATACCAAAATACCTGTATTTTGGATATCTGATTCTATTACACTATTTTATTTCACAGCATAGAACAATAATAACATCACTACTACAATTTTTACTATTTATATAAAGCACAATGTATAAGACGAGTTAAACTTACTGTGCTAATATTTTTCTGATTTTTCTTTACATGTTCAATCACAGGGGTCTCTGCTACTGTTATGCCAGCACCTAATCTTTTCTTGTATAGTACCTTCATTAAACAAATAAAATAAAATAAATACAACATTTCTAAGAAACTTTTGGATGAGCAGGAAAGAAACTATTCTATTATTTGAAATTTTGAAGATATTTTAGTTTTCCATGAGATAACTACACCGGCAGAGAAACTCTTCGTTTTTCAACTCTTATCCACTGGAATTCATAGTAGATAAAATCTTGCATTAAAAGAACATTCCTTTAGGGTACAGCACTAATTAAAATGTTTACTTCATAGGGTACGTGTGAATCCAATACAACTCATTTCAAAACAGAGCCAGGAAATGACTGGAAGAACCAACCAAGCTGAAGACTGAAACTAATCATTCATTGAGATATGGCTTCTAATGTTCCCACAGATAGATAAATTTGCAATGAACCTGAATTCAATATTGAATTTAGTATGTAGGACCATATCTCATTATCTGCCCTTAGATAAAAAACTGTAAAAGTCTTTATTTATATCAGACTTGTGCAAATAGAATAACTGTCTTACATTTCCTGAAACGTTTCTTCATCTTCATCCAGATGCAATCAAAGCGCTTCAAAGAAACTTTAAAGTGTTTTAGATTTTACTTTGTTGTTGCAAAATGGCACAGATTATGCTATTGGTGACATTGCTTTGTGTTATATGTTGCATATATCCATCATTGTATAATCTCTTTGATGAGTGATGCCATCATGGTGAACATAAGGACATCTTGTACAATGTGATAATGTAGAGTATGTGGTAGAAGGCACAGAGAGAAAAAAATGCATATGGGGCTCCTAATCAGCAACTGTGCTGATCCAGTATATGGCCATCTGGTTAGAGTATATAGCTAGCTTGAGAATTCAGAATTGTGTGTAGAGCAAGTAGCATTATAAGGGTTAAAATGCTGTCCACTTAAGGGTGGCCTTCTGGGAAATGTAGTTTTAGTTGTTACCTGGTTATATCTGTGTTCTAATTGGCCACTGGCAGGGTCTTGTGTTTTATTACGGGATATCCTGTTTACATGCCAGTCTATTGTGTCTCCATGAATCCTAGCCACGAGGGTTAGGAGCTCCGTTAAAATGGGGAAATCTTTTATCCTTTTACCTACGCGGTGGGTCCAGATTACAATCTACATTTCAGAGGAACATCTACAATAACTTTGAGTTAATGTCTTGAGGATGCCTGGAATAAAAGTAATTTTGTATGATTTATCCGTTGAATTGATTCTGCCTGTTTCAAGTGAAATCCAGCAATCTCTCTTTGCTTGAATCAGGAAAGCAACCAGATAGTAATTATATCCTATTGGATAAAATATTTCTCACTTTAGGTTATAGAAAATACCAGTGGGAGAAATACTAAATAATTTATTAAATAAATAATTGAAAATCTCATAAAACTCTTATAATTCATTTCAGTCTAGTGGTTTTTACAGTTCTCATTTGATTCATGAAACTGTAACTAACTCCATTCACACAGTGGAACTATAAACATTTGAGTTTATAGTAGCTTATAATATTTAAGCTACCTGACAAATTTGGATACAGAACCTTAAATCAAAATAACAGAATTACAGAGTTGGAACGGAGCTTAGAAATCTTCTAGTCCACCCCCCTGCTCAGGCAGGCAACCCTATACCATTTCAGACAAATGGTTGTCCAATCTCTTTTAAAAAAAACTTCTAGTGTTGGAGCATCCACAACTTCTGGAGGCAGGTTGTTCCACTGATTAATTGTTCTAATTGTCAAGAAATTTGTCCTTAGTTCTAGGTTGCTTCTCTGCTTGATTTATTTCTATCCATTGCTTCTTGTCCTGCCTTCAAGTGCTTTGGAAAATAAGTTGACTCCCTCTTCTTTGTTGTAACCCCTTAGATATTGAAACACTGCTATCATGTCACCCATAGTCCTTCTTTTCATTAAACTAATCATACCCAATTCCAGCAACCATTCTTTATGTGTTTTAGCCTCCAGTCCCTAATCATCTTTGTTGCTCTACTCTGCACTCTTTCTAGAGTCTCAACATCTTTTGTACATTGTAGCGATCAAAACTAGATGCAGTATTCCAGGTGTGGTCTTACTAAGGCATTATAAA